TCATCCTATCTCTCCCTCCTGTTGTGGGGAGACCTCCTATTTAACAACCCACGCGGTGGGAAGCGCGGCAGCGCACACCTATGCGAAATTTTTCGCCAGTGCATGTGGGGTCCGTGCCCCTGTGTTTTTTTCTCTGTCTATGTTTTTATACATTAACAAAATGTTTTGGATTTGAAACAAAAAACGAACTTCAAAATATTCACGATTTATAAAAATGTTGAAGACTTCACAAAATGTTCGTGAGATCGAAAAAATGCTACTGAATTTAAAAAATGTTCATAAATTTAAAAAAAGTTGGTGAATTCCAAAATGTTCAGGAATTTGAAAAACAAATACAAATTAAAAATATGCTCCTGGGTTTAAAAAAATGTTCGTTAGTCCAAAATATGTTCGTGATTTTGAAACAATATTCTCAATTTCAAAAGATGTTCATGACTTGTAAAAATATTAATATTTAAAAAGTTTTCATGATTTAAAATTGTTCATAATTTCAGAAATAAATGTTCATGACTTCAAAAAAAAACGTTCACAATTTTTTATGAAATGTTCAAGGTTCCAAATTTTCAATCAGATGAATACATTTTGAATTTTTAAATTTGATGAACATTTTTTAAAATTGGTGAACATTTCTTGAATTTTGATGAACACATTTCAAATTTGATAAACGGTTTTAGAACTCAATGAAGAAAAAATGTTCCTGATTTTCAAAAACAATACGAGAGGGAAAATAAGAAAAGACAAAAAAAGAAAACAAAATAAACATGAAAAAAGGAAATTAAAATGAAAAAGGAAAAAATGGTATGGAACCTTCCCAAAACCTGAAGTGGGATCTATGCTACTTGGGCGGGCCTAAAACAGGTAGCAAGCGGGAAGGGTGCGTTTGGTCGACATTTGTTGTGCTACACGGGGAATGGGGCCGGGTTCTCGGTTTTGGGGACAATCGTTGGGCTAGCATTGGACTACGAGCGAGAAGTTGATAAATCTTGAGCATCCCTTAAAAAATTGAGTGTTTTAGTTTTTTTACCTGCATAATCGGTGGCCCTGGCAGTTGTCCAATGTGCGAACCCCCGCACCCTAGATATGAATGAGATATTAGGAAGTTTCATTAGTTACATCATTGTTTCTTTATATGAGTTCTTTTATTATAGCCCCCTCCCCTGGCCGTCCTTGCTAGTTGGATCTTCTGTTTAACATCTGTTTTCCTTGCTAAATGACTAGGTGTCCTTAGCATCTACTCTTGTGAGCTATCAAAAATCTTACAGTTTTCTATGTGCACATAGCGAAAAACTCATAAAACTTACATTGGTAATATTGAACTTTGTGCCTTCAAGACTTTCTGTGATCAAGTAAAAAATAGTTGTCACTACCTAAAGTTGTATCTGGTAATGACAATGTTTTTTGTGTGTCATTGCCTTATTGAAGGCATTGCTTGGATTTTACTCAGCCTTGATCACTAGGATGAAAACTCAAGATCTTGCATTCGGTGTTTGGATTTGCAGATGACGACACTTGAATGTCGTTCCCTTTTTGAAGGCATTGGTGTTAAAGAACGTGTCTCGTTGTACATGCAATGTCAAGAGATGCTTGGTGGGATATGATCGTTGTTGTAGCTTGTTGATCATTCTTTTGATCACTTTGGAGTTTTTTTTACTCCACCTAGTCATAGCTTCGGTCATGCATTACTTTTTTTGTTTCATAACATTGTTTGAAAATAACAAGAACATATATTTTTGGTTTCATAACTTTTTTTGTTAGACAAAACTAATTTTTAATATCCACGAATACATTTTGGATATTTGATTTCGAAAACACGTGATATTTGTGTAATTTAGGCCCCCAAATATATACAAACAAAAGAAAAATGTAAAAGAAGAAGAAGAAGATTAGGAGCCTCTGGGCCTAGCGCAGTGCCAGGCACTTTAGGCGACCGGCCCCCATCAGAACTCCCATGGCGACTCCCCCCGTCGCCGCCGCAGCGATCACCTGCGACGAGGCCGCCCTCGCCGCCGCCATCGGCTGCTGCGCGACCGCGCGCTGCGCCTCGCCCGAGGCAGAGGAGGCGCCTCCGCGCCGGCCGCGCTCGCCAAGATGCCCGCGGTGCACGGGCCGAGCTCAACGCTTCCGTCAGGCTGGGGAAGGAGGATTCTGCAGTGGTAACGGATTGGGGAAGTCACTTTTTTTGATGCCAGGTGGAGTCACTTTTTTTGGATAAAGTGAAGGAAGCTACGGGGAGCCTAAAGTTCCAAAGTCGGCGTGCACGATGTCGTTTTCTTTCTGCTCTGATTCCCTATATTCAGTACTCCCTCCGTTCCGAATTACTTGTCACGGGTATGGATGTATCTAGATGTACATCCTGAATAGGAGTAGATAGCAACAGTCAATTCTCTGTCTAAATGCTTATCCTTACTCCTGCTAGGGAACGTGTGACTTTTGGGCAAGAAAGTCCCTGCTGTTGGCCTCAGCCATAGCAGAGCAGCAACCAAGTTTCCATGGCCGTCAGATTCACGCCGCGATTCGTGCGAGCAAAGCCCACCGCTGACACGGCCACGCGGGGGCGTCTCTCTGGACTCTGGTGCGGAGGGGTCTAGATAGAAAGAGACGCCGGAGAAGCGGCGAGCGAACGGTTTCGGTCCGGCGGTGGCGGCGGAGGCTGCCCAGCGCAGGCACCATCCTATCCCAGAGCTGGAGTTGATTGATATGTACGTAAGTGTTGGATATGTGGAGTGTGGCTGTGGCTAGCTAGGGTTCCTGAAACTGTCGATTCAGCGCCGTATCTGAATATCATGCAGTCGTGTGTATTTATTGCTGAAAAGAAAGAGAGAATAGATAGCAACCGCCATGAACCTGAGGAAGCAGCATTTCCGTCCGTCCATCCCGTGGTCGGAACGAGGAAGATTGTTTGTCAGGCCCCGAGTGGAGTCGACCTGAAGCTACTGCCAAATATTGAGAGCTCAGAAACAGAGCAAAAGCAGAGGAAGGGACATACACGAATATCAGAGTTCAGAAAGCAGAGGAAGCAGAGCTCCTGGCAAGCACAATTGCGGCCTGTACCAGTCAGTTCGGATTGTCCATCTTTTTCCACTGCCTTATGCTTTCACCCTCGCTGATAATTGCAGGTTGGAGCATAGTGTTTGCAATCCAGGCCCTGGGCTCAAGAGACAGAATGAATTCACGGCATGCATACATATATGGACGGTCAGTGTGCACTTAACCACATTTTAGAAAGAGAGCACATAAGGCACAAGCGCTCCTCGGGTTCTCTCCAGCACTGCACAACATACGCTATGCTCTACCTTTTCCAACCCCTTCTGCTAACCGTAACCCCAGTTAAGATACTGAACTCCACAAGCAAGCCACATAGAAATAAACCTTGAGTTTCAAAGTTTCCTCGGCAACATCCAAAGTTTGTTTATTTTAAGGAATAACAGAGCAAGATATCATCCACAAGAACACGATACCATTCGGTGGCGACAAACAAGAGAGTGAGAAATTAAGTCTGGTTAAGCATATGCTCCTACCTGCTATGGCCAGCAGGGATGCATAGAGGCAATTGCTACTGTTTATTTATTTATTTATTTAGCCGAACATGTGCATTCAGGACAAACTTATCAGAAGCATTTCATGATCTTCAGGAGATGACTCCCCATAGCCGTAGCTGTTAGGCACACCAATCCGGATGATAACCAACATGACAGTTGAAAAAGAAACATTAGCAGTAGGAAACATGTTTTTGGAGACAACACTTCTAGCTATCCATATACTTTCCAAACTAAAGCAGAAACTATGGCAGCCATCAAATTTCCTTAAAAGATTCACTTAAAAGATTGATCGGATTGAATTGGTGTGTGATTGTCAACCAATCGGCACTGGATGGCTTGCTTGCTTGGTTTCTCCAGCTCCAGCTTGCTGTACCTGGTGTTCACGATCTATCAAGCTGGAGGATGTGAGAGTTGACGAAGAGGTGGCCGTGGCGGTGGAGGTTGCCAGGCGCGAGCTGGAGTGGAGTCGTCGCGTCTTGATCGGTAAGTGTTTGGTCTGTACCTAGGTAGCTATGGTTTTTGATGCCGTAGATCGAGTATCACACAGTCCAGTGTGTATTATCCTCGTCCTTTTGTATGTTAAAAGAAAGAGAGGGTCGATAGGTACCAGCCGCCATTAGCGTGAGGGGCAGGCAGCATCTCCGTCCACCATTAGTCGTCTGAAGGAGAAAGATTGTGTGTCAGGCCCCAAGCCAGGTCCACCTGATGCCTCAAAACTCAAGCTACCACCAAATGTTCAGAGTCCAAAAAACAGAACAAAAGAAGAGGAAGCTATTACAGGCAATTGCAGTCTGTGCCAGTTCTGATTGTCCACCGCCTACTGCCTTGACAAAGCTCGCTGATGACCAGAGTCGAGTCCGAGGTCGACAAAGATGAAGTCACTGGAACATCGAGTTTGCAATGCACATATCTAGACCATGAGCGTGCAGAACTTAACCTCGCTTTAGAAAACAGAGCACAGGAAGCACTGCACATCATGTAAATTAAGATTCCAGAATTTATCCCAAACAAGTACTAGGATATTGTAGTGCTAAACTCCGTAATAACCAAATACATGTCCAACAACAAACAGAGTAACCTTATTTATTACAGCAGGAAGTCACCATTTTTCTTGCAAAGAAAATCGTTTGCTCACACTTAACAGGTCATTAACTTCGATCCGTTACGAATAAATAAATCCTAGTGGTGACACAACATAAAAGTACGAACGGCGGGGAAGCCACCAAATCGACATGAGAGCACAGAGGACTAAATAATTCGACGCACTTGATCATGTTGATGAATGGCCGTCAACCAATAAGCAGAATAAGAGAATGCTTTGCCATTAGCAAGTCGCAGCCTGCACTGCCTGCACAATAATAAAAAAGTGTCATTACCAGGATGTGAACTGTGGGGAGGCGAGGAGCAAAGCTCATTGCAAGGCAAGCAGCACAATTAATTACCTGAATGTGTTGATGTTGTCTAGAGAAACAATATCTTGGGGCGTCGACCTGGGAGGTTCTTTGCTGCTTCTTTCCACTCATTTTTTGTTTCATCTCCCACATCACGATGGAGAGCAATCTCGTCAAGATGCCCAAGGGAATGGACCGCTGACGTGCCGGAAATAGAGCCAGCCAGATCTTTGCATAGCAGCTGCATCGACCTGAGGCGTGGTAAAGCTCCCTCTTGGATTTCCAGCTCACCAATCATGGATTTCACCAGAATGGATAGGCGTACCAGGCTCTTAAGTGTACCTTTTGTGATGACGAGCCTGCCCAGGCTAGTTGCAAGCAGCTTCAGGTGCGCCAGGCCAGGCACTTTGCTCAGGGTAGCAAGAAAATCTTGGCTAAGGCTCAGCTGAGGGGTTGAAAGGCCTAGCTTAGTGAGACCACCTAGAAAGGCAACAAAGGAGGGAAGGCTGCATATCTTGCTTCCTTGCAGCTTGAGCGAGGCAAGATAGCAGCAGTGATTCTTTCCCTTATCCAGAGAGAAATTCAGCATGTCTTGGGTCAACTCGTCTTCAAAATTGAGTGAGAGGGATGGAGTCCCTGTGGACTCAGTGCTTCTCTCAATGAACCCCTTGATGGCCTTTGAGAGATGACTTGAGCTGCTGGTGTCGGCGGTAGACTCACACAGTATTTTCACCTTTGTCAAATCATTCATATTGTACATGAGCTGTGCAAACTCTTGGCTCTTGCTGTTGTCCAAAACAAATCCTGCCAATGTTTCCAATTTGCTCTTCACTGACAACCAAGTCTGTAGCTTACTCATTGTCCGGCCTCCTACATCTTGCTTGAGCTTGAACTTCCCAAAGAGATGAACTAGACATGGCAGCTCAAGGACTTGTGTTTGCAGAATCTCTATCGCTGTATTTCTCACATCTAGTGTATCCAATACTTGAAGGTTGCTGATCTCCTTTGGAAGCGCTGTAGCAATAACAGCGGCCCCGAGGCATAGGTACCTCAGCAGCAACAGTTTGGTGCATATCAACTTGAGATGGCCATCCCCCAAGGATACAACGCACTCTTCCAGATCCAAAACTCGCAGCAGTTCATACTTGGAGAAGTCCAGGACAGATGGGTGCGCCTCTCCCAAGATTGTCAGTGACCGGACAAGAGTTAAACCTTGCACTTCTCTGGGCCTTGCATGATGCAGAGCAAGCCGGCGGATGTTACTGGGTATGGATGGGTTAGACTGCCCATTGTACAACACGGTAACAAAGTTGTCGGACATGGACTTGCGCAGGACAAACTCCAGCATCATGCCATGGGTATGGCATGTCTTCACCTCTGTGTTGTTACCACTGGCATCCATAGGCTGGATGATACTCCGGTCGACAAGCTTATTGAAATTGATAATAGCAGTGTTGAGGGCACTACATGCATTGTCTCCTGGGGATAATCCTTCTGATAACCATCTCCTTAACAGTCTTTTTTTCTTGATAGGACGACCACTTGGATAGGTACCCAAATAGAGCAAAAATATCCTGGCAACCTGGCTATCAAGGCTGGTGTAGCTCTGGACAAGCACACGCCTCATTCTTGCAAATAGTTCATCACTCTCCAGATATGTACCCAGGTCGGCGCATAATTTTGCCCATTTCATGGGTGTTGGATTACCTACACTTTGAAAGAACCTGGCGGTGGTAACAAGAGCAAGGGGAAGACCATCACATTTCTTGAGCGCTGCGGAGCCGAGCTCCTCTGCATCCAGCGGTGGTTCATCGTCTTGGAAAGCTTCATTGAAGAACAATTGTCTTGAGTGTTGGTCAGAAAGGGTTGCCATTGTGTACACATGATCACGAACAACTGAGCTGCTGCAGGTATTTGCTACGTGCTGAATGGCGGTCGTCACTAGAAATCTACCGCTTAACCCCATGAAGGCCTTCTTTATGTCGTGCCAGTATGCTACTGTCCGCAGGTCATCAATTACAATGAAAAACCTAGGTACCCAAATGAAACATGACAAACTAATTAGCCAAGAACTACATCAATAGTAGAGGAAAAGAGTTAGGGAACTGAATGAATATGAGTTACCTCTTGGTGCCAATGCACTTTTTGATGCTTGCCTTAAGCTGGGTGAGACCGCCACTGGTGGGCAGGGGAAGGTGGCCAAGCTGCCAGAGTATCTCCTTGAGAACATCTGCGGCTGCCCCGCTCCCCCCTAGTTTCCTTGGAGGGAGCCAAGCCCGTGCTTCGTATTCGCTTTTGCTCTCAATTGCCTTGTACACATGATTTGCAAGAAGAGTCTTCCCCATACCATGGAACCCCACAATGGTAATCACTTTCAGCTTCTGCTCCTGCTGGATCAGATCCAGAAGCTCGTCCCGGGGGGTGTCCATACCCACGGGCACGGCGATGGATGCCTCTGAATAGGTGCCATCCTCGTCGTCCTCAATTGCCGTCGGCGTGTCTGTCTGCTGAGACGACAACGACTGCCTTGGTGAGGATGTGCTGCTGCTAGCATTGTTGTATGAGTCTCTCAGCTTGAATACATCCTCTGATCTCTTCTTGAGCTGTCGGATCTCTGCAGCAAACTTGTTCCGGGCCTTCATCGTCTTTGCCCGGTGGAAAGCCTGGCGCACTCTCCCGGTGTCTTGGTCGGCCCTCACACGGTGCATGAAGCGGTCGATGCAGTCCTCTATGGCGTGCGCCAATTCACGCACCATATTAATCCACACCATATTCACATCTTCACGGCCGCCACGGCAGCCGCTGCGGCGATCATCATTATGGATGACGGCCGAAATCATAGCAAACTCGTTCTTGATGTAGTTGATGTCGATCTTGAGACTCTTCCGGAGCTCGTGCTTTGCCAGCAAGGAATCAAAGAGTTTAGGCACCATCCACTCCACCAAGGAGGTGGCCGCGGCCGTCGCCACAGCCTCCATCTCTCTCTCTCTCTCTCTCTCTCTCACTGTGTGTATGTGTTTATTTGGTTGCAAGATCACATCATGGAGTTTTCACCAACCGGTGAGGACGACAACATCCATGACATGAATGAAGTTGGGGTAAGCTACCTAGACCCGTTGGGAGGCTGAATTCAAAGCACTCTCCACCGCATAATGCTTTTCATTGCCCTTGGTACCGCCACTAGCTAGACAACCAAAGCTCAGATGCAACCTTGGGATGTGAGGAAAACATAAAGAATTGGTAGCGGCTTCGAGTTCACTAATCTATTAGAGCATGTACAGCCGGACCTGTACGCGGGCGGACGCGTCCGGAAGCGTTAACGGATGATCACTGAGCAGTCCCTAATTCTACGCCTTCACAACCACGTATCTCATATCCATCATCCTGTTGTAAAGTAGTTTGGAAAGCGTAGAATCCTTTGTCTTGGGCCGCGTTGTTATATTGAGGCAAAGCCTTGGTGGACAAGTTACGGAGGAGGAGATCGACCAGGGGAAGATCGACAGGAACAGAAAGAGATCGATCAGGAGAGGTTGTTACAAGAGATAGAGAGAAGAAGAGATAGATACAATTTAAACACCTCTCCTATCCCTATACAATAATTCTAACACTCCCCCTTAATCTAAACCTCAAGCCTTGCTAAGGTTGAGATTGTATTTGAACTCATCCAATCTTCTCTCTGTCAAGGGTTTAGTAAACCCATCTGTAAGTTGATCCCCTGTAGGAATGAACCGTATCTCAAGTAGCTTTCGAGCTACTCTCTCTCTGACAAAATGAAAGTCCACTTCAATATGTTTTGTTCGTGCATGGAAGACAGGATTGGCTGAAAGATAAGTTGCACCAATATTGCCGACAAGAGCGATCTTTACTTGTGTTGGAGTTCTTCTTCTTCATCATCGATCTTGGGTTAGGTTCCTGGTCGGCAGCCTGGGCTAGCAGGGTGGATGTCGTTTTGAGTTTCTGTTTATGTTTCATCCGTAGTCGGATGTTGATGTTGTATATGATGTGTTGTTGTATTCATGTGACATTGTATGTCTTGGTTGTATCCCCACTATTATGTAATGTTTATGTCTTGGTTGTATCCCCACTATTATGTAATGTTGATGTAATGATATCCACCTTGCAAAAGCGTCTTCAAGATGCGCTTCTATCCTTGGTGGGACCTTCGAGTTCCTTTAGTCGGTGCCATCCCTCTGCCTCTCACGAGGGCCGGCGCGTGCCTCCGACTACGGAGTCCGCATCCGTGGCGCCGACGAAGCAGCGAACCTAATCGATGCCTGCGTGGAGCCGCGACCGAAGGTAGAGGAGGCCGACGGGCGGGCGGCGCCGATTGGGTTGCCCTCGCAGATCCGCGTCTTGGACGGGAAGGGCCGGTGCTGGCGTCGGTGCTGCGGCAGCAGGCCGCATGTGGCGTCGCACCAAACCCAGAGATTCTGCCTGTATTGACCCCGCAAACGCTCCAGCGCGACTAATCTTGTATTAGTATGTGTGATGTTACTCATAGTACTAGTAGCTAGATATGTTACTATTTGCCCCTCTTTCATCATTAATTACTTGCCATGTCATATAATTTGTCTAGATAAGTGTGAGGTTACCACTTATGTTACTCCCACTGTGACTAGCCTTAGAGCAACTCCAATGGGCTGACCCAAACGGACGGTGCATTTGTCCGTTTTTTGTCTGTTTGGATCGGCCGCCCGCCCGACGTCCGCCTGTTTTGCATTTGGGTCGGCCGCGCGCTTAACGTGCCGACCCATTTTCATGTCCGCACAATTTTGCAAAATGGCCCGCAGCCATAGATCATGCCAGCGGCCATGTCTCATGCCGGCACCATGCCAGCGCCCCATACATTGCCGGCTACCAAAAATATCGCCAAATTCGCGCTGGCGCGCTCGCCAGTGGCCGGCACACATGCCGGCGCACAAAAGAGGGTGGGACTTGAGTTCGACCACGCCATCGCGGCCTCGCGGTCATGCCAGCACACAAGCCGGCATACAAAACAAGAAGGCGCTCACGGCCACAAGATCACTCGTCGTTGAACTTGAGCATGTTGGCCTGCATCTTCTCGTACCATGGCCTCTTCCTTGGCGACACGGCGTTGAGATCCACCTTCATGATCTCCACCCCGGTCATCATGCTCGCGAGAGCCACTTCTTTCGCCTTGGTCTTGGCGTTGGCGGCCTCGATCTCTAGCATCTTGACTTGCTTCTCCGCCTCCAACTCAAGCATCTTGGCTTGCTTCTCCGCGTCCATCTCGAGCCTCTTTCTTTGGATCTCCATGAAGGCGTTCATTTGCTCTTCTTTGAAACGCCGGCGCTCCTCCTCCCTTGTGTCCTTCTTGTTCATCCTGCCCTCCACGCTTGAGATCAAGGCGTTCGATGCCGCATCCCGCTTGTCCTCCTTCTTGGAGTTGGTCCTCCCCCGCGGTCGTGCCGGCTCGCCGTCCCCAACCTCCTCCATGGTTTGCTTCCCCCACGCGACTTGACGGCGGAATATTGCGCCTTGAACTTCTCCTCATCCTTGATCACCCTAAAGCAATGGGAGAGATTGAAGCACTTGCCATTGTGCTGGACCTTGAATGCCTCCAAAGCTTGAAATGCCTACAAATGTTTTCATGCAAGCATATTGGCAACATGGTATGCAAATGAAAACGTAAAAGAGGGCGGCTTGCTAGCATACCATGTCTTGTATGCCGATGCCGCTCACGGGGTGGGCCTTCACACTCTCAAGAGTGGCACAAAACTTGTTGCACATGCACTCTTGTTGGATCACCATCCATCGTTTCGAAATGGAGACCCACCCGCGCGCGCTCACAATTTGGTAAGACGGAAACTTCTTGCGCTCATGAAATTCCCGGTGGACAAGAATCCAAAAAGTTGATGCCTTTTGTTCGGCGCCCGTCTTGGGGTCTTGTCCAATGTCTCGCCAACACTCGCAAAGAAGCTTGTCCTCGGCCGCCGTGTATGCCTTCGTGAGCTTGCTCTTGCGCTTCTCCTTGCGACCGGCGGCTTGATTGGCGAGCTCATCCTCAAATAAAGGCTCCACGTCGATGTCGCACTCGTCCTCTTCCTCTTGGCCATAGTCGGCCGGAAACTCGTGGTCAAGTGGGAAGCCGTCCAAGTCAATGCCGACCTGATCATGCATGAAGGCCGCCTGATCGGGATCATAGCCAGCGGCCGGCGTGAACGTCCCGTGGCCGTCCTGGCTTTGTGTCTCGTCGGGATCGTAGCCAGCGGTCGGTGCACCGCCCTCAAAGATGAGGTTCTACATGTAGTCCTCGTCGCCGGCGGCGGGCATTCCCTCGAACAGTTTGCGGGCGTCCGGGAGCACGCCGGCCGGCAGCTGCCGCGCATGTTTCCTCGCGCCTCCGGATGACGAGCCACCGGCTACCGGTGTGGCGTCGAGGTCGATGGGCGCGGGCGCGGGCGTGGATGGCGCCGCCACGCTCTTGTCGGACGAGCACTCTCCGGAGAGGCGGGAGGCCTGCGGGTACACGTGGAAGCCGTGCATCGGGTTGCAAGCCGACGCGCGGGGCGAGTCAGGCAGCACCATCCGAGGGAACACCGATGAGCCGGTGCTGGCCGCTGCGACGGCGGCGTTGACGAGGCCATGCTGGCTAGGGTTTAACCCTAGCATATAGAGCGCCTCCCTTGTTGCCGCCGCGACGCGGGCGTTGGTGGCCTCTTGCTGCGCGGCGGTGACGGCGGCGGCTGCCTCGACGGCTTCATCCCTCGTGTCGGCGGCGTCCTCCGACTCTTCCTCTTGGCCGACTCTCTCGCCCTCTATTCGGGCGTCTGCGCCTTCTTTGGCTTGGGCATGGCGGCGGTCTTGCGCGCAACACGAGGTTTGCCTTTGTTGGACGAGGCGAGGGAAGCGAGGCCGGCGGCGGCGTCGAGGTCGAGGTCGTCGTCCATGGCGGCACAGGAGCGCGCGGGTAGGAGGGGTTTTGGGGGGAAATTGGGGAGAAATGGTGCTTGCTGCCACCGATCGGCGGGCCCGGGAAGAGGAGTAGCCGCGCGCGCATCCGTTTCGTTTCCGCATGGATGTAAATCCGGCTAAAAAATGAGACCGAAAATGGGTCATCTGCGGACGAAAAACGGACGCGCGTCCGTTTGAATCGCGTGTTGGGCCACCTTTTGTGTCCGCGCCGACTCAAACGGACGGAATGGTCGCTCCATTGATGTTGCTGTTAGAGCACTGCTGCAGAGAGATTAATATGAATGCATGTCGTCCCGATCGTTCACACACGGACAACGGCATGTCTATGCATCGGCTGGCCAGAGTAAATGTTATGTTACTGCCGCAGTCACTTGCTGGAGCCCAGTTTGTATCCGTAGGAACACGTACATGTTGGACAACCAGATTTCGAGGTCATGAATTAATGCATGGCTCGTCTTCATCGTTCACACACTGACACGGCATTTATCATTTTACTGCCGGTATAGTACCTTTATCAGTCGTCTGACCTACCGGAGCAATTACACTTAATGGTATGAATGCACGCGGTACGAACGTGTTGAACAGCCTGCTCGATGGGCAAAACTTGTAGTATCCCAATCCAGCATGACTCTCCATCCCTTCCTCGCGTTCGGTCTTTGGGGCTATTAAAATGGGAGTCCTGAGCAAAGTACATCTGATCGATATGAATGAAAGATACATCCGATTTTTCTTCTCCTTTGAAGGTTAGGTATCTGCTTGTTAGTTCAGCACCGCATAAATACTGACTTTAAAAGGGGCAACTCCTGTCTGTGCTTAAGTTGTTTGAAGCTTGTAAAGTCTCGTGATCGGAAGATTAACCTGGTTTTCTTTCAGCTGAAACTCTACATTTGATCTGTAAGATTCAAAAATTTAGGATGCTTATTACTCCCTCTGTAATTTAAAATAAGCCGTTTTACACTGCGACAGTGCCAAAGAAACGTCTTATTGGAGTGCATAGAAACTGTTTGGCTGGCTATCGGATATTATATTACTTCCCTAGTCT